TCCAGTTCCATTACAGAGCACTTCATGCTTCAGATATGCAAAATATTTTCTTCAATGCATGTGAAATCCACCAGCCAAAACCATGAACGTTTGACAATATTCAATAAGAAAGGTCAGTTTCCTTCGTCTTTTAAATACCATAACCATTAAAGAAGGTGGGAAAATGTCGTCTAAATTATGGCATTTTACTGAAGTGAAAAGAGAGGCAGGTCACATTTCATTGACATGTTTTAACCTTTTGAAAGAACCTAAAAAAACAAGCTTTTAAGCCTTTCCCTGAACGCTCAATAGTATTCAGTGGTTTTATACCGGTCTTTTAACGTGAAATTAACATTAGAGAAAGGTAGAAATTATATATTTAGACTTCAACGATATTTTACTGAACTTTACAATAAAGTTTCCATATAACGCGTTTTGATTTGAGTGCTTTATCAGAGAACAGAGCACAGGTTGATGACGGTAATGCTGGCTTTCAAATTTTTGCTTCGGAATTTTGACAAATTTGACCCAAATTAAACAACCCCTTTGAGAACAGAGCACGCTGACGCCACTTTTAGTCGCTTGAAAATAAAGTTAGGTGTGAACACTCAGCCGAATTCAGCTGGATTCTTTATCATAAAACAAATAAAGAAGCCTCGACTGTCTGGCTCTGTTCTGATGTGAAGCACGCAGGAAGCGGTAGAGCACTCAAGAAAAACACTCGACTACGTCTCGTGTTTTCCCCTACACTTCTTTCGTGCTCTACCGCTTCCTGCTTGCTCTACAACAGAACAGAGCACAGTCGAGGCTTCTTTATTCGTTAATTAAAATGAAAGCAGGTTAAACTACTTTGAAACCTTTTAACCTTTTAACCCACTTAATTTAAGCTATTCCATGAGCGCCCAATAGTATTTCAGTAGTGTAGTTTTCTTCGTCTATTAACGTGTCACAAATATGAAAGAAGGGTGTACATAACATTTAACCTACAATTGCATTTTAACTTTAAAAAAAAAAAAAGGTTAAAAACCATGTTGAAAGCTTGGAACCTTTTGAAACCACTCTAAAAACAGCTTTAAATTTAAGCTTTTCCATTTAAGCTTTCGGAATTATGCATGGACTAAAATGGCATTTTATCGAAAACAGACTGGTTAAACTAATTTCAGTTGATACCTTTTAAGTTTTTGAAACTATTAATAAGTAGTTTTCTCCATCTATTAGCGTGTTGTAAGCACGAAATATGATAAAGGTGGAAATTACATTTAACCTACAATGGCACTTTAACTTAAAAAGGAAAGCAGGCTAAACTACGTTGACACCTCGTCAACAATCCTCGTCAACAATGTTTGGTAAACATTCATGTGTAGTCTAAGCATAATTTCCGCCCTTTTTTCATGTTTATGACCCGCCGATAAACGAAAAAACTACCAAACACTGTCGAACGCTCATGGAAAAGCATAAATGGAAAAGCTCAAATCAAAAGGATTTTTTTTCAAAAGGCCAAAAGGTTTTAACGTCGAATTTAACCTGCTTTTCGTGGAAAGTGAAAAAGCGATTGTAGGTTAATTAAATATTCAGGGTGAATATTATTTCCACCCTTCTGTCATGTTTATGACACGTTAATAGACGAAGAAAACTACACTACCGCTTTTATAACGTGGTTTCAGAAAGTGAAAAGGTTTCAACGTACGCAGCATGAAGGATGACCGACAGATAGCCAACAGTCGGCTGACTGTTGGCCGTCTGTCGTGCAGTTGTCGGCCGGCTGTAGAGTAATTGTCGGCTGACAGTTGGGCAATTGTCGGCTGACAGTCGACCGACAGTCGGCCGACAAATGGTGATCTGTCGGTCATCTGTCGGTTCGGTTGTAGCCGTGACAAATATCGTAAACATTACGTCGTTTATCTCCAAAACTGCTTAAAACGACTGGAGAATTGATTGAATCTGAAGACAAACAATGGACTGCAAGGCTGATACTACGTTTCGAGACACCGACATGACAAGAACCGATAAAGCAGGATCGCAACAGTGGACAGCTGTTTCGCCCTTCTTGGGACTCGTCAGCACTGTGTAGCGAAGATATGTAACGCCAGCCCAACAGCCAACGCACATAAATAGCGAAATGACCCGTTCGCTATACCAAGTTGCGTACCTATCTGAGCACGTGAATCGAAGATGAAATTCCTGACTTGTCTGCAGCTGCCTACTTCCTTGTCAGAGCAGGTGTTGCTAATTTTTAAAATTGCAACATAATCATCATTTTACACCGTCAGCCATCTGTATTCCACGAAGTCTTATGTTTTGGGCTACCGTAACTAGAGAGAGGGAAGTATTTTGGGGAACGTGTTTTTAGGGAAGTGTATTTTTAGTAAGGAGCGCATGTTCTTTTTTTTTATGCATGCATACTTTGCGGAATGAAGTTTTAGGGCAACGTTCCTTTGATAACATATTTTGGGGGAACGTTTCTACGGTAATGTTTTTTTAGGAATGTGTTGTCTTAGATATCGTACTTTTGTGGAGAGTGGATTTTCGAGAACGCGTTTGACAATTTTTTTGGAAGCAACGTACATGCATGTATTTTTGGGGAACGTATTTTAGAGAGAATTTGCTTTTGGGAACGTATTTTTAAGGTAACATAATTTTAGGGAACATATTTTTAGGGGAACGTATTTTTTTGTGAACGTTTTCTTCTTCATCTTGAGACTGTGCAGTTTAGGGAACGCATTAAGCATGAATCCAATTTAGCTCAATAAAACAGACTTTTTTACTTGTCTTTTTGTAATAACTATCAAAAATGACAGATATGTCATTCATGCAAAATCAGGTGTAAACGACTAACATGATCTGATTATATTGTTGACATCTTAAACAAAGATACTCATCAAATGAAAGACAAGTTACTTTCAATCTCTCTTTTTCGTTGTCTTTATTGACTTTTTATGCCACATTACTCCCTTGTTTCTTATTAATTTGCATTTGTATTTTTAAGTATAGACATTCTCTTACTGTTGATGCTATATGTTTTTTTCTTTTATTCAGACCTAGCGTCCATTCCATGGAGGAAGAGCCGGCAGGTTGTTGTTTACATTGGAGCAAGCGACATTTCCAGGGAACAGGTCGACATTTGGTCCGTTGATATGTTGGCCTAGGTTATCTTCATCAACCGCAAGAATCAGTTGCAGTCGTGCCACTGTGATTTGCTGTGTTAAAGTTACCTCAGGTTGATTGGGAACCTTTTGCAGGTTGTTTCCAATCACTGCGAAGCTCTCGACACCGTTTGGATGCACACAGCAGCCAGCGGTCCACATCGAGTTAGGAATATTTATAGCGGGGAAATTTCCAGCTGGACCCAGGTTGTTGATGTGTACTTGTGGGTTGTATCCCGGAGGGTTGTTCTGAATGTGACCAAANGGGCAAGACACTTTTAAAACTCTCACAGTGCCTCTCTCTTCCCAGGTGTATAAATGGCATCCCATCAAGGGGGAGTAGAAATACTCCTAGTTGCTTCATGTTACAGAAACTGGGATAAGAAGCTCCCTCTTGGTGGGCCTCTTGCGTTATCGTTTGCAGAATTTGCCTACCTTAACTAACCTTCAGATGATTACCTAATTTCAAGATAATCTCTTGCTAATTATAACGGTGACTGTCTTATTTTAAAAGTCGCTATAAGCTGTAGTTACCGTTTGCATGTGTTCGTCGCCACCATGCTCGTCGATTCGGATGAAAATTCACATTTGCTTGTGTCAATGTATAGGCTGAAAACACAGCAATACCGCGTTGCTCGTCAAACATCGTGGCATAGTAAGTCTGGTGATGGTACGTTTGGCAGATATACCGTAAATTAACCTGACCAGCTCGCAGACCTATTGGTGGGGCTCCAACTACACCTACAAAGAACTGAGTGTAGCATGGCTGGTTAGGATTATTAAAAACCATCTGGGGGCCAACTGCTCGAACCTCCGTGTTATCTTGGTCGTAGTCCTTGTAAGTGCTGTTCTTACTGCCGTGCTCATGGTCCTCTTTACCTAGTTGACAAATAAGATATCAAAAGTTATAACATAACTGACGAACTGAACAGAACGACCTAACTTTACCGACTGATCGAAAACTGACCAATCACAGTACCATCTTGGACGAAGTCTTTGTAGGTGCTGTTCTCACTGCTGTGTTCAGGGTTCTCCTTACCTAGTTGACAAATAAGATATCAAAAGTTATAACATAACTGACGTACTGAACACAACGATCTAACTTTACCGATGGATCAGAAACTGACCAATCACAGTGCCATCTTGGCTACCGTGTTTGTAAGTGCTGGTCTTACTGCTGTGCTCATGGTCTTCCTCGCCTGGTTGACAAATAAGATATCAAATGGTATAACATAACTGACGAACTGAACAGAACGACCTAATTTTACCGACAGATCGAAACTTACTAATCTCATGCGACTGACAAACTCGTGCTCTTCTTGTGTCTCAAAGCACTCGTGTTTTAATTCTTACCCACCTTGCAGAAAAGGAAAATAATTGTGAGGGTAGAGCCTACTGAGTGTATTTCCTCTACATAGAAGCAGATTTTACAAGCTATAAAGGAAGACTTCGTTAAAAAGACAAAACGATTCTTTTCTGTAACTCTGTATATAACTAGTACATTGTGTTATTCAACTATTTTTCTCTCAATCTGCAGCTGTATGTGTAATTAGTCCTTTTGTGTGTGTGTGTGTTGTGTGTGTGCGCTCCTGCATGTCTTTTTCTTATTTTCTCTTCTTATTTGACCCAAATAAATGATCACTTTAAATCAGTAAGGATGGCTGCCCAGTCCTATTAGCCCATTAAGGTTATTTCGGGAAGCCATGTACTCTTTTTATTTTAACTTATTTCTGTTCATCTAATTTCTAATTTCTGGCTGGGTACAAATAAAGTTGTTGTTGGTGTTGTTGTTTCAGTTATTAGGTTTCAAGGGAAAGTGATATTTGAATGGGTGCTTAGCCCAAGCTTGTCTTTTAATTTTTTCATACTGGGATTTTTTCGCTAAGTGACACAGTTTTTACGAATAACAATCACGTTTATTTTCATTCTTTTGTTTGCTTTTTGATTATGCTTCAGTAACGTAAAAAAAATAAAGGCGCATCGCATCAATATGCCAGATTTGTTTGTTTAACTATTCAATGGTCGGGAGGCTGTTTATGATTTTGAAAGTAAATGTCGACAATTTAAGTTTAAATACTGCATGACAGTTTCTAATCGATTTCAAAGAATTAAATTATATATTTCATATTCTTACATGGAAGTTAAATGTGATGTTATAGTATGGAATAAATATAATTCATCTATCAAAGAATCTGTTGCGTTGGGTTTGAGAATTCAGAAAGTTTACATTTCAAATGAGTGCGAATTTACTGGTTCAAAAATCATAAAATCCTTAATTTCTAACTCTTTTAAACGTGAAATCCAGTTTCCCACTGCAGAAAAAGGCTCATTTGAATTTTTTTTAACTTCAAACATGCTTGAGTTTTCAAAAGTAAATATTTTCATTTCTTACCATTTTTGTTCTTCTTTGGCATTGGCCGGCTTCCATCCACAACATTGGACGCTATCAGTCCAAAAATTAGCAGGAAAAGCACACTTTTCACAGCAAATGACCCCATCTTGACTTCAGAGTTAAGTGAGAGACGATTCTTAACCAGTCGTCTAAGGCGAATGAGAAAAATTTAGCCCAAGTTATTTGTGTCCAAAACGTCTTCATGGACGGTTACCGCGGTTGAACTGATTGACCAATCACACGGTAGTATACGGGATGTCGTCAGACAGAATGGAGGCAACTCAATTCATTCCTCACAATTCAAAACACGCTCTCTAATGTGCAATCTAGTAACCGTTTCAACTAATGGCCTTTTAACGTGCCTTACACATTTTAGACTTTTAGACTTTTTGCATTCTAATTTGATGTTTTAATTTTCAGTCATCCAAAGCAATCTGCACTTTACACTGTTTTAACTGTAACCCACTTGCAATAGAAGAAAAACAATTTCAATGATAAGAACCTACAGAGAAGCAGGTTTTATGACCTATAAAGGCAGACTTACGTTAAAAAGGCACTAAAGAATCTTTTCAGTCATTAGGTCTCACGGAAAAGTGATATCTGAATGAGTGTTTAGCGCAGGCTTGTTCTTAATTTTCCGACTATGATTTTACTCGAAGTGACGCAGATTTTTACGAAGCTAACCACAATCACCATTATTTTCGTTCTTATTCTTTTGCTTTCTGATTTAAAGAAAGCTGCAGTAACGTAACTAAATTTAACAAACCTGAATATTTAAAAATATTCACTGGTCCAGATGCTGTTTACGATTTTGAAAGTTAACGAGCCTAAATAGTCTTCGCAGACACTTTGAAAACCCAAAGAAGTTATCGTCATTTTGTTAACAACAGCACACCGCTNCTCATCCGTAGGTTAACCTTTGTGGGAGGCGCGGTAAAATCATGGTTAGTGGGCTTGTCTCCGGATTGAGAGGCCCGGGTTCGAGCCCTGGCTGAGGACATTGTGTTCTGTTTTTGGGCAAGACACTTTTAAAACTCTCACAGTGCCTCTCTCTTCCCAGGTGTATAAATGGCATCCCATCAAGGGGGAGTAGAAATACTCCTAGTTGCTTCATGTTACAGAAACTGGGATAAGAAGCTCCCTCTTGGTGGGCCTCTTGCGTTATCGTTTGCAGAATTTGCCTACCTTAACTAACCTTCAGATGATTACCTAATTTCAAGATAATCTCTTGCTAATTATAACGGTGACTGTCTTATTTTAAAAGTCGCTATAAGCTGTAGTTACCGTTTGCATGTGTTCGTCGCCACCATGCTCGTCGATTCGGATGAAAATTCACATTTGCTTGTGTCAATGTATAGGCTGAAAACACAGCAATACCGCGTTGCTCGTCAAACATCGTGGCATAGTAAGTCTGGTGATGGTACGTTTGGCAGATATACCGTAAATTAACCTGACCAGCTCGCAGACCTATTGGTGGGGCTCCAACTACACCTACAAAGAACTGAGTGTAGCATGGCTGGTTAGGATTATTAAAAACCATCTGGGGGCCAACTGCTCGAACCTCCGTGTTATCTTGGTCGTAGTCCTTGTAAGTGCTGTTCTTACTGCCGTGCTCATGGTCCTCTTTACCTAGTTGACAAATAAGATATCAAAAGTTATAACATAACTGACGAACTGAACAGAACGACCTAACTTTACCGACTGATCGAAAACTGACCAATCACAGTACCATCTTGGACGAAGTCTTTGTAGGTGCTGTTCTCACTGCTGTGTTCAGGGTTCTCCTTACCTAGTTGACAAATAAGATATCAAAAGTTATAACATAACTGACGTACTGAACACAACGATCTAACTTTACCGATGGATCAGAAACTGACCAATCACAGTGCCATCTTGGCTACCGTGTTTGTAAGTGCTGGTCTTACTGCTGTGCTCATGGTCTTCCTCGCCTGGTTGACAAATAAGATATCAAATGGTATAACATAACTGACGAACTGAACAGAACGACCTAATTTTACCGACAGATCGAAACTTACTAATCTCATGCGACTGACAAACTCGTGCTCTTCTTGTGTCTCAAAGCACTCGTGTTTTAATTCTTACCCACCTTGCAGAAAAGGAAAATAATTGTGAGGGTAGAGCCTACTGAGTGTATTTCCTCTACATAGAAGCAGATTTTACAAGCTATAAAGGAAGACTTCGTTAAAAAGACAAAACGATTCTTTTCTGTAACTCTGTATATAACTAGTACATTGTGTTATTCAACTATTTTTCTCTCAATCTGCAGCTGTATGTGTAATTAGTCCTTTTGTGTGTGTGTGTGTTGTGTGTGTGCGCTCCTGCATGTCTTTTTCTTATTTTCTCTTCTTATTTGACCCAAATAAATGATCACTTTAAATCAGTAAGGATGGCTGCCCAGTCCTATTAGCCCATTAAGGTTATTTCGGGAAGCCATGTACTCTTTTTATTTTAACTTATTTCTGTTCATCTAATTTCTAATTTCTGGCTGGGTACAAATAAAGTTGTTGTTGGTGTTGTTGTTTCAGTTATTAGGTTTCAAGGGAAAGTGATATTTGAATGGGTGCTTAGCCCAAGCTTGTCTTTTAATTTTTTCATACTGGGATTTTTTCGCTAAGTGACACAGTTTTTACGAATAACAATCACGTTTATTTTCATTCTTTTGTTTGCTTTTTGATTATGCTTCAGTAACGTAAAAAAAATAAAGGCGCATCGCATCAATATGCCAGATTTGTTTGTTTAACTATTCAATGGTCGGGAGGCTGTTTATGATTTTGAAAGTAAATGTCGACAATTTAAGTTTAAATACTGCATGACAGTTTCTAATCGATTTCAAAGAATTAAATTATATATTTCATATTCTTACATGGAAGTTAAATGTGATGTTATAGTATGGAATAAATATAATTCATCTATCAAAGAATCTGTTGCGTTGGGTTTGAGAATTCAGAAAGTTTACATTTCAAATGAGTGCGAATTTACTGGTTCAAAAATCATAAAATCCTTAATTTCTAACTCTTTTAAACGTAAAATCCAGTTTCCCACTGCAGAAAAAGGCTCATTTGAATTTTTTTTAACTTCAAACATGCTTGAGTTTTCAAAAGTAAATATTTTCATTTCTTACCATTTTTGTTCTTCTTTGGCATTGGCCGGCTTCCATCCACAACATTGGACGCTATCAGTCCAAAAATTAGCAGGAAAAGCAAAATTTTCACAACAAAAGACAGCATCTTGACTTCAGAGTTGAGTAAGAGACGATTCTTAACCAGTCGTCAAAGGCGAATGAGAAAAATTTAGACCAAGTTAATTATGGCCAAAATGTCTTCATATGGACGGTTGCCGCGGTTGAATTGATTGACCAATCACACGGTAGGTTACTGAATGTCGTCAGACAGAATAGAGGCAACTCACCTCATGCTTCAGAAATTCAAAACACGCTCCCTAATGTGTGATTTAGTATCCGTTCCAACTAATTGAATGGCCTTTTAATGTGCCTTACATATTTTACATTTTTAGACTTTTTTCGTTCTAATTTGATGTTTTAATTTTCAGTCATCCAAAGCAATCTGCACTTTACACTATGCTTTAACTATAACCCACTTGCAATAGCAGAAAAACAATTTCGATGGTAAGAACCAACAGAGAAGCAGGTTTCACTAGCTATAAAGGCGGACTTCATTCGTTAAAAAGGCACTTAAGAATCTTTTCAGTCATTAGGTTTCAAGGAAAAGTGATATCTGAATGAGTGCTTAGCGCAGGCTTGCTCTTAATCCTTTTCTGACTATGATTTTGCTCGAAGTGACGCAGATTTTTACGAAGCTAACTACGATCACCATTATTTTCGTTCTTATTCTTTTGCTTTCTGATTTAAAGAAAGCTACAGTAACGTAACTAAATTTAACAAACCTGAATATTTAAAAATATTCACTGGTCCAGATGCTGTTTTGAAAGTTAACGAGCCTAAATCGTCTTCGCAGACACTTTGAAAACCCAAAGAAGTTGTCGTCATTTTGTTAACAACAGCACACCGCTGGGCTACTCACTATCTACAGCAAAATGAATTGGGAGTAGCGTAGCCAATAAGGGAACGGCATTCGTGATAAAGCCCTAGTAGATTTAGACTTATATGGAAAAGGTCTTGCACATGTATCAAAGAAGTTATCCTCTCGGTTTGAGAGTTCAGAAAGTTAGTCAAATGAATGTGCAATTTACTTGCTAAAAAACCGTTAGACGTATTTTATTTTAATTTCTTGCTCTTTTAACCAGTTCCCTACCGAAAAAGAGATAAGCTTATTTCAATATTTTAACTTCAAAAATTCTTGAGTTTGCAAAAGTAAGCATTTTCGTTTCTTACCATTTATGTTGTTTATGTGCATTGGCCGGCTTCCATCCACAACATTGGACGCTATAAGTCCAACAATTAGCAGGAAAAGCAGAATTTTCACAGCGATTGCCTCCATCTTGACCTCAGAGTTGTGTGAGACAAGAATCTTAAGCAGTTATGACTCAGTTATCAAACCAGAATGTTAAAAAATTAAATTATTTTTTCAAATTAGTGTGAAATTCACTACATCTAAAGCCATGAAATAAATTTTGTAGCTCTTGGTTTAAAGGATTATAAGCTACTTTATAAAAAATTAACTTCAAATAAAAGCGGGTTGTTTTTCTACATTAGACAACGTCTTCAATTAACGGACAAAGGAACCTTTTAAGCTATAAAGTTTCATTTCAAGACAAACAGTGGAAACTCCATTAAAGTGTATCTCTGAGTATTATTAGCTTTACACGTTTTAAATTATATGAACACTGACTCAGTTTTAAAATCATTTCTGTTTCCTTTTTTGCGTCCGTACTGATTTGAATTTAACCGACTGTCGGGAAAAATATACATTGCATTAATTATATTGATCCACATCTTCAGTGAAAGAACAAAGGTACGTTTCTGACTTATTAACACAGTTTCGATTCATTACTAACAAGACAAAGTGATAAAGCCAAAATTTATCTATGGTTATATATATATCATCTGACTATATTTGGCTCAGCCTAGCTACAGGCTCAGCTCTCTTGAAAATCAATTTCATCCAGCTCAGTTATTGTCCAAAAAAATTGATGAACGCACATAATTTCTAAATTATTGCCAGTAATCAGGTAGTTAAACATAAAGTCAACAGATGGGAAATATAGGCTACTCGTCTTTCTGAATTTATTACTTCGAATTCAAATAAAATTACAACCTCGTAAAATTAAAATCTTACTCGAAAGTTTCGTGCTTGTAACTAGAAATCGGCCTTGCACTGTGCAGTCGTCCGATTTCGAAAATACTCTTCCGACTACCGCCTTGAATTGTGTTCCATTCAATCCAATTACTATTTCATATTGATACAATATATAAAATTATATTAAAGAAAAGGTTCCTACAAACTATGGGAGGGAGGACAAGTATTTCAAGAATCAGATTGCCAAAGCTGTTGGTTTTTTTGTTTTTTTTGGAATCATAGTATTGCTAATAACACAATGCGAGCGAAACGTTAACCGGAAACGAGACAAGTAAATGCTTCTTTGAAAAATCAATAAAAAGGCAGCCCGCAAACAGAAGATGTCTTGTAATTCCATCAAAGCGCGTTTTCCCGGTTCCTAACTGTAACATGTTTATTGGCGTTTTTATAGCTTCAAATCGACATTCTAACCCTAGAGGTGTACCGGATTGTTAATTTTCACCGTCATGATCCTAGTTTAACGGCTCTGCAGATATCTCACGAGTCACCTGTAGCTCAAAGGAAGAGCATCGATCGAGCTACCAACCTGAGTATGCCTGTTTCACTGACAACAAAATCATTTTTAAGATTTAAATTGTTCAGAGTAGAGGCGTTACTTACGAAGCTAGGTTTTGAAGTGGGTCTGTCTCAGCTATGACATTGGATGTCAAGAGTACAACGACAAGCAGAAACCGGTAAAATATTCACAACGATTAATTCCATTTCAAATTTTATATCAAAGTTTATGTTTTATTTGATATCGAATTATCTTGTTAGTTAATTGTCGATGTTCCTTGATTCCATTATCATGTGTTAGTATAAATCTACTAGCGTCCTATTACGAATGCCGTTGTCGTGTTCTATTATTGGCTACGACTCACTATCTATTCTGCTGTAGATAATGAGCAGCCTCAGTAGCAGGGTGCTCTTGTTAACAAAAAGGCGGCCGCTATCTTGCGTTTCCGGAGTTTCTGTAAAGAGGATTTAAATAAAATTTCGACTGCGCTCTATCACGCGATAGAAATCGAGAGCGAATAAGCTAATTATCAAACAGAAAACGCCAGCGAAATAATGTATGGTAATTTACAATTTATTTTAACTTTATGAGGTCTTCACGGGTCAATAATTGATCGAAGGGACGAATTAAACCTAAAACCGTGAGCAGGCAACTCTTTCTTGAACCTCAAAGAAGACCCGAACAAAGAATCTTTTAGGCTACTATATTTCAAGGCAATGTGGATTCTTTAACGAGTTTCTAGTGCAATTCCACGCTATCTTGCTGCAGTCGGCTGGTCAACTTTGTAAGTGTTACTATCAGATTCCTTGAAAATGAAACCGTCGAGCACAAACAAAATTTCTTTATGGGAATCTGCTTGAGTTGCCGTGTTATTATTGTGCCTCACTAAATTAAAGGCCAAGTAGCAGTGGTTTACTGCAGTCCTAAAATTTAATGTGAGTATCGATTTATCCGGCCTTGCGCCGTTANAAATTTCGACTGCGCTCTATCACGCGATAGAAATCGAGAGCGAATAAGCTAATTGTCAAACAGAAAACGCTAGCGAAATAATGTATAGTAATTTACAATTTATTTTAACTTCATGAGGTCTTCACGGGTCAGTAATTGATCGGAGGGACGAATTAAATCTAAAACCGTGAGCAGGTAACTCTTTCTTGAACCTCAAAGAAGACCTGAACAAAGAATCTTTTAGGCTATTATATTTCAAGGCAATGTGGAATCTTTAACGAGTTTCTAGCACAATTCCAATTCCATTCCATCTTGCTGCAGTCGGCTGGTCAACTTTGTAAGTGTTACTATCAGAATCCTCGGAAATGAAACCGTTGAGCACAAACAAAATTTCTTTATGGGAATCTGCTTGAGTTACCGTGTTATTATTGTGCTTCACTAAATTAAAGACCAAGTAGTAGTGGTTTACTGTAGTCCTAAAATTTAATGTGAGTATCGATTTATCCGGCCTTGCGCCGTTATTTTGTCATAACTTGAACAATCTTCCTATGAGTCATTATTTTCAGCATAATTGGTTCGCGCAAGTGCTCACAGGGATAACATTTTATACTCTCGATTTGGCCGCGATTTCTTGCATGCTGGAGAACATTTTGTTAAGGTGATTCCTTGGTATTGCATTGTGCATCCCCACTGCGCACGATTTTCGCGTCATTAACGATTTTCGCGCCATTAACGCGCGTACAAAACGAAACAGATTTCCCTCAAGCTAAGCTCGACAGCGAAATAAATGCTCGTTTTCTCTTAAACGAGCACGGTGACCCTCGCTTTTTAATGTGTCAATTTAAATTACACAAGGTTATCTACAATATATCTCGATTTGAAGAAAAGTTGAAAATTCTGCTGAAAAATATTTTGATTTTAATGCTGTAAAGAACACGTCCTTAGGTAGTGCTGGGTATGTGCGCACGTGGAGAATTCTTACATTTGTAGTATACTCGTAACTCATGTTCAACTCATATGGTTTAAATGTAAGTTCAGGGTCTATTTTGAGTAACTTCTCTAATAAATTAATCCAATAAGCGCTTTTCTTAGAATTTGTAGAGTCCATTTCAGCTAACTAAGGTTCATTTATGACAACTTCTCCGGTCGCAAAGATGCTATATAACGGCCATCCATGTTGTGCAAAAACGAGCAAGGTGACCCCTAATTTTTATTATGGCTCCTGGGCTCGATTACAGTGAACTAGGTTTCGATGGAATATGTAGGGTTCGGAAATTCGTTAAACGTTCCAGTTTTTGTTTTTTTAGTATTTTTTTTTTCGTCACAACGTGACTTATCCTAACCTGACCTGTCGGCCCACGGCCGTCGATAAAACCAGGAACATGGAACATCCCGAAACATTCCGGAACATCCCGGAACATCCCGGAACACCGAATAATTATGATAATTATGAGAAAAATATGTAAAAGTAAATTTTCAAAAATAAAATAGACAAAAATAAACTGGTATCAGCTCGAAAAATGAAAAAACAATATTTTAGGGGGTAGGGGAGTCGGTAGGGGAGGGATAGGGAGCGTTGGGTATTCCTTCAACTGACCACAATGAGTGCAGGCTCCTCTTCTTTCAATACGTCACGTGGCTTTACAGCACTCTGTTTTTCAACACAAATACGGACGATTCGGACGATGAATGCCAGGTAATTCATTGCGTTTCCTTTGTTGATCTCTGATTTCTTCAACATCTGAGGGCCATACTTTTGTCACTACTGTTCCGTCTTCAGGTTGCAATTATCATCCCCAGTTTTCGCGCTCTCCGCTAGGAACGCCTGGCACTATTACCCAGCAAGTGCAGACTCGGCCTTTCCGGAAGACCGAGTAACAAGCAAGTTATCATTAATAAACTAGCTAGTAGTAATCAAAGATTAGAGCATTGCATTCACGCGCGTACTTCCAATGTTTGGTCTACTTTGGTGGCGTTTGAATGGCTCGATAGAAAACTAAGAATGTCAGATAACGATCTGCACGTGAAGTTGAACTAGGGTAAAATTAATTATTAATAAGTATTAACTTGTACTGGACAGAACATTTTCCAGGAATGGTATTTCAACCGTCACCCTGCAAGCAGAGCCTTTTCGTACGGTACATATGCTTTGGCGACACTTAGAATTCAATTTCAGATCGCCAGCACTTGTAACAAATATTTCTTAAGACAATAAAGTTTTGAGGAGCGACCATGCAAGACAGCGCGTTGTCAGCGCGTTGTGTTTGTATTTGTTTACACTGTCATCAGTGGTTGAGCAGTCCGAACTAGCTTAGACAAGAAACTCAATGCCGACGAGTTTCTATTTCTATCTCATGGAGAAACTATTTCTTTATGAGGAATCGGCGTGTATAGAGTGTATGTACATATCTTTGAATTGACGTAATGAATTGAATAAAGAAATCATACTCGTGTACCCCGTATTTTTCGGTCTCATTAAAGAGTTCGAACGCCACCACCTTGGTTTTCTATGAACAACGAAATCTGGGAATAAGGGACAGTCACGTGATTAACCTGATTGCGGACGACTGGAAGGAATGGATTAGTCTTCTAAGTTGCGAGCCTTCTACCCTGCGAGTAGTTGGTTTCTCCTACGCCTGCTCGCAGGGTACGAGCCTTCTTCACTCATTGCAGTTTTTGTTTTGTCTTTGTTTTGTTTNTCTAAGTTGCGAGCCTTCTACCCTGCGAGTAGTTGGTTTCTCCTACGCCTGCTCGCAGGGTACGAGCCTTCTTCACTCATTGCAGTTTTTGTTTTGTCTTTGTTTTGTTTCTTTTATTTTCCGAGCTGATACCAGTTTGTTTTTGTTTAATTTAATTTTTGAAAATTTAAATTTACACATTTTTCGCATAATTATTATAATTATTCGATGTTCCGGGATGTTCCGGAATGTTCCATGTTCCTGCTTTTATCGACGGCCGTCGGCCCACCTGTTCTTTTGAGAAGAGCTAAATTTAATACATGTAGGGCATCTTTATTTTAATCATAGTATTTTTCAAGCTATATATTAAATCTCTTGTATGTATTTATTTAACGGCCTAAAAAGGTTTTTGAATTAGTGCTTAGCCCTAGCTTGTTTTTTAATTTTTTCGTACTGGAATTTTTCCGCGAAGTGACACAGTTTTTCACGAGTCACAATCACATTTATTTTCATTCTTATTTTTGCTTTTTGATTATGCTTCAGTGACGTAAAGAAAATAGACGCACATCAATATGCAAGATTTGTTCGTTTAAATACTCAATGGTCGGGAGGCTGTTTATGATGTTGAAAGTAAATGTAGACAATTTTTAAAGTTCAAATACTGCATGACAGTTTCTAATCGATTTCAAAGATTTAAATTATATATCTTTCATATTCTTACATGAAAGTTAAATGTGATGTTATAGTATGGAAAAGATATAATTCATCTATCAAAGAGTCTGTTCTGTCGGGTTTGAGAATTCAGATAGTTTAAATTTCTGAAATGAGTGCGAATTTACTGGTTCAAAAACCATAAAATCCTTGATTTCTAGCTCTTTTAAACGTGAAATCCAGTTTCCTACTGAAGAAAAAGGCTT